TACGATTTTAGTAATATTGTCCTGTAAGGTTGATAGTATTTTACATACATTACAAAAAGCTTCTCAAAAGTTCATCTCTGAATGAAACTACTTGATTCTAAACCGACTTCGAAAAAGATTAGTAACATCCATTGACAACCGGAAAGTTGGTAGTATGCCGCACTCTCTTAGCTTTGTGGTGGCATAATAGCTTTGATTTCACTAACTAGGTTTATTCAGACTCAAAAACTCCTATATTTACTCAGATATTGCTATTAGTAATTTACGGCTCTGGAAATTAACATCCCATAACACTAAAAATGTATCTAAAAAACAAAGAAAGAAAGTGGAATAAAATAACAAAAGGTGTTAGACGTTAAAAATGTTGACTGAAATCGACATATAATAATCCCTTATAGAAGAATGGCATAAGTGGAGTTACGTTAAACATGTTTATTGCTCCATTAGATACAGAAAGATGTAACCCACCTCCTCTCTAATTCTTGTAACTCTATCGACTAATATAAAATAATAATAACGCACACACTCAACATAGCTCCGCACTAGGGAAACCCTGTGTCGCGGGTGCTATGGACACACACATAGACAACCACAAATTACACCCAAACTCACGAGAGAAATAAATGTAGGCCATACAAATACTTCTCCCGGCCCGGGAATCGAACCCGGGGACCTCTGCGTGGCAGTCTGGTATGGTAACCGTTCGGCCACGGAGGCAGTATCGACTAATATTTATTGTACATAGAGTTACAAGATTAGGAGAGGATGTAGGTTATATTTTTGTGAATCTAATGGAGCAATAAACATGTTTCACGTAACTCCACTTATGCCATTCTTCCATGAGTGGTGGGATTTATTAATATAAAGATCGACCGCAAAGACAAATTCCTTCGATCTGACACGACTCGAGCCTACGTCTGTGCTTTATAAGACCACATCTGCAAAATTATAATTTTTCAGAAGAGAGGTCTAAAGATTCTACAAACGAAATTAGTCGATAACATTTTTATGCTTAAATAGGTTAAGAGTTATAAAATTTCACCCAACATACATAATTTTTTTCATGTAATTAAGTTTTATTGAATGTCATCATTATGATTTTCAATTATTTTTTATGAAATTACTCCACCAGTTTGTTATAATTATAAAATAAAAATCGAACACTCAGAAAAAAATTCATTTCGATACGACCAACATCTCCCAGCAAACCGTGCCAGACGCTATGTCAACTAAGCTTGTCATGTAGTTCGAATTACGGTTATGACTTTCATGTGATAAAAGCATTTTGCCGTATGGATGTATGTATGTATGGTGTCTTTGTTATGGCATGTATTTAAATGATCATTTTAAATTTGCAAAACACCAGGCAAAAAAATGTAAACGGTCATCTTTTTTAATAATTGATCCTTTTTCTCTAAGATAAAATAAATTAAATCTATGTATATTTAAATCTATTCTGAGGTAATGTTTGATTTATGTGAATTAACTTTGATAAAACTAAGACAAATGAGCATTAAAAAACCTGAAACCATGTTCGAAAAACGCAAGCAGATTATACTTCTGGCACTAACCGCTGCCGCGGCTCGCTTCGTTCGTTCGGCTCGTATTGCTTTTTCATATACTAACCCAATCTAATTTACTGAATGAACAGAGCAACCAAGACTTGACCTATACGAAAAAATAGGATCAAATATTATTTTTCACTTTCAAATATTAATTTAGTATGTTTAAACATAATAATAGCGTTACCTTGAATGCAGTTCATGTATGATTTATCCGCAGATCAACTAATATAGGAGCAACGAAACAATAATTATCTGAATGCATGTATTAATATCATTTAGGCGACGGGTGTACGTTCTTGACGAGGGAGTGAGATGGAAGGAGTGTGCAAGAGAGAGGGATGATTCGAAATAATAGAATAGAAGACGAGCGCGGTTGGTTTTTTTACATTTAGTTTGAGATCGACGACGTACTACGGAGGAGCAAGAATGTACTCTTTCAGACCTTATTTATCAAACATAAATTTAAAAAAAACACATTTATATTTACAATTATATCTTTGAGGATTAAATAATATTATCCCCTTTGTTATGATAAGAGTTCGAAATTTTGAATTACTATCTATAGGAAAAAACAAAAAATGTATAGTAAACGACAGCAGAAAACGGTTAGGTCATAAGCTTTATGATAACCACATCGGCCCTTTTAAAATGCAGATTTCATCGCGACTGTTTTCTTCGCCGTTTGCGAGACGCACCTCTACTAAATATTCACAAACGTGCATAATTTAAAAGACCGAGTCATAGGTACTGTTGGCAATTCCAACAATAATTATTTCAATCCAATCGTCGTCGAAACGTCAATTTTCACGCGTGTGCGCCATCAGTTGCTTCAACGTGGGTTCCTTGTCAACCTGACGACTGAGTTATACTCTTTATTCGTGAATCTTGCTTTTTAGTCAAAATGCACAAGATGACAGGATCCTCGTACACATTGGTTTAAATTCCTAATAGCAGCTAGTTCTTGCTTATTACACACAAAACTTCCCACATTAAGTGATATCGAACAGGTATTTGTTGCCACCGGGATTCGATCCATGTACCTTTCAACTGATAGCTTCTAGCAATCTCCCACTGGCCTACTATCGCCGATATAACAGTCAAATATCTATAGTAATATAATTTCACAATGAAGGTAAATTAACAGCGTTAAATAAAAGGACAACCTATCGTTTTTAAGAACATGAAACTAATGAGCTGCCAATTTTTTCCACGTGCTTTCAATTACGTCAGTTATTTTGTTTAGTCGACTAAAAATATCAAATTCTTGACTCACTGAATTCAATAAGTGTATAAAGTAACAAATTATGTATACACATTGAAAATAAATTGAATATTAGGAATGGGTTTTTTGAGTCTGAACAAAATGTACATGTCAATTATTTTACAAAGAATTTTTGAAATATTATGACCTAGAACAAACGAAAATGTTTATCAATTACGTTTACCACACACAATATCTATGGAAAGAAACTACATCAAAGAAATTTTAGTAATCCATTAAAAAACATCAAATTGAACTTCAAATTGAATTGTCAAATTATTATCTCCAAGCGTAGTTTCCCCACACGGTTTCTGCGTTACATATTCTTATCTATACATATATCTATACTTATTTATCTACTATATTAATATATTAACAATATTTACAACACTGACTTTTCATTCTAATATTACTGTGTTGATATATAGGGTGACATTTTAATTAAACAAGTTACGCTTCAGGTGCATGCACTCATAAACAACTATTGCTGGCAGTGCTACAAGCAATTTGCAATAAAAGCTTTTAATTAACAGGAAATATAAATGACACTTGGCTGAATTATGTATGGAAATTCGAAACTGAATAAAAAGTTCTGCTCAAGTAATTTGGCTGTTATTTTTCGAAAGATAAATAAAAACACGTAATAAAATATTACTATTAGGATAACCAAGGGTTCAAAAAATGCCTTAAATTGTCGGCAACATTGTCGTAACAACAACACGTAAAATTGTGGGCAACCGTGTGTTAAATTTATATTAAAAAAATTAATACAAGGCTCTTAGTTTTTAAACGCACAATCACTCCACAGTATTACAAGGATTATTAACTTGTCACCTTAAATAGCACAAAACAGATTGAAAATTGTATAAAAAGCGAAGATTAGGAAAATATATAAATACATATACTGTATGTATCTATGTTAATGATATGCGTGGTAGATGAAATATGAAATACCATGCAAAATATACTTATTTACCTTTGGAAATTCTACGAGAGAGAAAGGAATTTTTTTATATCTTTATCTTTTGAAGATACCAATATTCTGCTAAATATATTGATTATATTATTTATTTATATATATAAGTACTTAATATTATTTTTCCTGGCAGTGCCAATTGCGTACACAATTATTTCAAAGTATATATATTTATCTACTAAATTAAATATATGTTGTACGTAATTTATACATAAAGGGCAACATGATTAAATGCATGGAGCAAAAAAAAGAATAATAAATATTTGATTAAAAAATGTAGTTTAGGAGTTTTAGTATCTCTACAAAGTATTCCCAAAGGTATAAACAAAAGTTTTTTTATAAGTTTCTCCAAGGATATAAACGCTTTAAAGTGTACTTAAACTACTCGAGGATACTTCAGTACGTACTAATGATGTAACGGAAGTGTCATAACGGAAACAATGTCAAAAGTATCTTAGCGGAAACGGAAGCAAATTTGAAAGCGGAAGTGTAATTACTGTAAAGACCTCAAGAAAATAGTTCCAAACAGGACTTGTTTTTGATTTTATAATTGTTCTTAGCACAACACAACACTGCTAAAAACGCGCGCCCCGAAACGAACGCAAATCGCGAATGTTCTAAACTTCCGTTATTGACGTTGCAGAAGCAGAAGCAGAGATCTATTGCATCACTAGTATGTTACGACATCCTAGTAAGTATATTTTGGTTAGTTTCTTGAAGGATAGTGTGTTACCAACTTAAGCGTGCTTAAGTGTACGCATCCTTTAAGGATCTTAAGATCTAATATCGGTGTAAACCGGCTCATATCCCGAAAAGCCCTTATACCCTAAAGGATATCCGATATCCTAAAGGACACTTACGTACTTTGACATAACTATGGTAATACTGTGCAGAGGTACTAATTCTAGACCAAAATATTTAGCGCGACAATCAAAAAGACAGTTCTATATTCTACTATCACATGGATTAAAATACTTCTAATTTTAAATGTCAATATATATACCATTCATTGTAACAATATAATACAGTTTAAACTTAATTAATTAAATTCACAACAGCTTAAGAATTACAAAAACCTCTCACATTTAAAGTAGATTAAGCTTTTTCTTTGGTCGTTCCAAAACGCTTTGATCGGTAATTGTTTCCAACTGACATCTGAACCCCTTTTTACATTAATATGTTAAAATTATAATACAACTTTAATACTTTTTAAGTATTTATGCAATTAAAGAAACGCTACGTCAGCTTTTAAACAAAAATTACAAAACAAATGACGACTAGGTTGGATAACAATAGTTGCTTAAAATAAAGAATAGTATTTTAAAAATAAACACTGTTAGACCTTGGTTTATTATCTTAAAAAAGTCTTAATTAGATCACAGTATCTAGGTCTATAGACGCGACCTCAGGCATTGACAATCATAGAAAACTCTCGGAGGCCCGCGTCTCGTCCCTTTCGACCGCCGAAACAATTTCGACTCCTTCGTCATAATGCTGCGTTTTATTGGTCTGATTAACACAATAATGCTGATCGGGATCACCATATTGGCTGTGATAAAACTCTTCCCGCATCATGTGATTCAAATTTGAACATCTAAAGAAAAGTATTTCTTGGAAAGGCTTTCTAAAATCTCTATTCAATGTTGCATAAATTATGGGGTTCAGTAGACTATTGACGTAGCCTAGCCATAAGAACAGCGCGCTGACAGCGTCAGGTATAGTGTCTTCGGCGACGAAAGGTCTCACTAAGGCAAGGACAAAAAAGGGTAACCAGCAGATCACAAACGCTGACATGATGATCCCGAGAGTTGTAGACGCTTTCCTCTCTTTGGCTAATTGAAAACGTAACTTCTTTTGATGCGGCGAGTGCGAGTGAAGCAAGTCTTTCGCGATGTGACTTTTTTGAGCAAAATTCGACAGCGACGATCTGATTCTGTTTGTTGCTATCTTGTGACCGCTTTCAGAGGATTGTCTCCGTCTCTCCTTTGGTTGTAGTTTATTATTGTCAGGAGTATGTCCCACCTGTGAAGTAGATCGATTGATGGTATGAATAGGCTTAGTAGGAGTCTTGTTTTGCAGGATTGGACATTGAGACTCGTTAGACTTTCGCTGCCCACTGAAGCACCTGCCTAAACCTCCCTCAGGCTTCTCGACGCTACACTGCAACAAAGATGTAACAATACCTTTAATAACAATTTCACTTCGCAATGATACTGTACAGAACAATTTTTTCTAGTTCATTGTTACTTTTGAAGATACAAGATATCTCCGTGCAGTTTAGCATCAAGTAAAGGAAGAGAGAGTTAATATTCTAATTAGTATACTCCGTAAAAGTTTCAAAAGATTCATTTGGAAATGAGATTAATACATTTAGAAACTCCATGGTACTTACAGTGGTATTAGTACTTGCTGTGGATCCCCTGGCAGGGGGTTGATTCGACTGACTTCCCAAGAGTTTCGCCTCTGCTGCGCCACCATTCTTGACGTTTATCTCAAGATAGCAATGTGTTTCCAAATGCGACTGAGCGCGTTTCTCATCCTTCACAATTTTTCTAGCAGCACTAAATATCTTATAATACACCACCATCATCACTGTCAATGGCAAATAGAAAGAACCAAATGTTGCATATATCTGGTATCCCTGATTCTGAGATACGGAGCATGACGTAGGAGTCTTCACATTGCCTAGTATTAGAACTGGCGGAAGCGATATGAACGCAGCTCCCATCCATACTATGAAAACGCAAAAAAGCATCCGTCTTGGAGTTCTTTTCACACCGTACTCTAAAGGTTTTGTAATAGCATAATATCTGTCCACTGATATCATACAGAGGTTCAAGATACTGGCAGCGCAGGACAGGACATCACTAGAGACCCAAAAGTCGCAAACAACAGGTCCAAAAGGCCACGTCCCCAATATATCATACACCATAGCTACAGGCATTACGATCGTAGCCACACAGAGATCGCTTACTGCCAGGGATACGATCAAGTAGTTACTGGGTCTTCTCAGTTTTCGGACTAAACAAACAGCGACACACACCAAAATGTTCCCGATTATAGTTCCAAATATTACTATCAAAAAAATTATAGCGAGAAGTATAGCAACTGGTGTGGAATATTTTGGATGTTTGATGTGAATTTCTGGTGTAGTGGAATTGTCATCGACTAGCGAAAAATTAAATGTGGAATTCGGGTTTGAGAAGTTGAATGTTGCGCTTTCGTCAATGTCCGCCGAGGCAGCGAGGGCTGTTGAGAGCAGTACTTGAAACACCAGTACGAGAAGGCTCGAAGGTAAAGCAACAAAGCTAGGCAGTGGACAGTGCTTACGACTTGGAGTCGCCATACGAGTCCCTGGATTGGGAAATTGCTCGGTGCGTTTTTTTGGCGTTACCATACATTGGTTTTGATTTTCCCTGTTTATCAGTTGCCTTAATTACTTTAATTATATTTCCGTCAAGTCAAGTCTGAAATATAACTTCGTCGTGAAGTTTCGTCGTTTTTAAATGTCGCTGTTGATTATTAGTGAATCGTAATTGACATTTTGCTTGGATTTTTGCAATTTTGAGCATAGCCATTGGGATACTTTGGTTTAAGTTTAGTTTTTGTGCTTATTCTGCTTAAAGCTTACTTTTGTCTGTAAACCTTTAGCAGTGTATGTTGTTTTATTGCTTCTGGAAGAGGGCTCGAGAGGCAGCTAGTCCAATATCCCGTCTGCGAATTGCTTCATTAGTGCCATTGATTTCTGAAGTAACTTTGCAATCTGAAAAGAATAGAAACAGGTTGTTAATGGTGTAATTTATAAAACAGAGGACGTAAAACTGAACGTAAAGTGTTTTATGTGAAAAGATTGGAGACAGTTATAACATATTACAGATATATTATTTGCAGATCAAAAAGTAAATTTAGTATGTATTATATAGTAAAAGGAAATGAAACTTTTTTTCGGAATTAAATCGTGTATATTTGTTTTTTCTACCAAAGCAACACCATCCCTGTCATCGTGATAGAGATTATGTTTAATATGAATGCAAACCACCCTATTTTTCATTATAGTTACAAAAGTTACTAATTAAATACTAATTTTTCCAAAGAACATTTCTATTTACACTACATATGTTTTACAAATTATTTTATTTTAACAATATGATTTTTATTAAATTAAATTTAAGTGTAACAATGGCGAAAACGTAAAAACACGATACATAATAAGAGGTTATTTTATCATACCTAATTTGAATACTTTCATAACTAAACGAACAGAGTGCGAACAATAATTAACGACAGAATTGTTTTGACATGCTCTTACAATATGAAATTTTTAGGCATCGAAAACAATTTCGACAGATAGTGCCTCAATATTAATTAAATTTGAAATGTCTTCTTTTTTTACTCTCATACCCATGCGATAGGCAGATTATTACATTAAAAAGAAAATTAAATGCCATCTGCAATATACTGAAAAAAAAATTAAAACAAAACAATGGCAGGCCGGTTTCCGAACGGATAAAAAACAAATGACAAACAGCGAGCAACAAAGGATAGTTTAATTAAACTACGAACTTTAACAAAGTTAAAATTAAATTTGGAGAGGATTAAGTGAGGCGATATGTAAAGCAGGATAAGCTCACCATGTGAACAAATAAGTTAAATACAGTGTTCGTTAACGTGAAGCTTGTTTGAAATGAAGTTGTAAGTTGAAATTTGAAGGAAAATTTCCTTAGTAACTGCCTCTAGTAATATCCAGTGGGTGTAAATAGATTATTAAACTGTAGTTAACTGCGGAACTCTCATGAAATGGCTCTGATAAATGTGTAGAAACATCCCATATCTGTAACCTTAGAATAAAAACATCGGCTGGTAAGGGTGCTGGTGAAATTACAGGACCATGGGACTTGTCAAGTTAAGTCTCAGAATATCTATAGCGATAGACAGATGTGTCGCTTAACACTGGGCACCAGGCTTTACCAACCCAATTATACGTCCCACTGCTGGGCACGGGTCTCCTTTCAGTCGAGGGATTAGGCCATTATCCGCCACGCTGGCCCAATGCGGGTTGGGGACTTGTGACCGAGGATTGTGAATCTTAAAATTTCGAAAAACTCAGAGGTGCGACCCTGAATTCGAACCTAAGTTAAACCATTAGGCTACCACGGCTATGACAGACTCACCGACAGTTATTGTTTTAACCTGCATTTTTACTCGCATGTTTCAAACAACCTCTGTGGTTAAACCATTCCAAAATGAGCTCTGGACAAGGAGGACCAATTTGGGACATGAACTTTTCTAAATTGGTCCTGGTTTTTGAAATAATATATGCATGCTCTAGCTGGACGCGTACCTCAAAAGATTTCGCCTGCGGCTTCAAATATTAATACTCACCACCAGTTTTCTGCAATAACACACTATTATCAGCACGTGATATAGTGCGTACGTTATAATTAATATTACGTATGTATACCTATATACAATGACGTGCCAATGTTTCACATCAATGGTTTCTGTACAATGGCGGCTGCGTGCCTCATTTTGTAAAGGAAATTGCAGCCTCATTCCGACGCTATGTGGGCTATAACAAAATGGTCTGACAATATTTCAGCTGGTTACTTTAGACGTTAAATAAAATTAATGATTCGAAAAAATGCCACTACAGTAGAGGTGAATTAGTCCTATAGTCGACCAAGGTAGACCAATTAGGGGTCATCGCCGAATTTTATAAAAATAGTCTTGGCGACTTCAGTGGCTCCAATGGTTTACTCTATGGCTGCTGAATGAGAAGGTTCCGGGTACGAATCCCGGTAGGGTCAATTTGGGAAACGAGTTTTTCGAAATTGGTTCTAGATAGTGTGTTCCAGGTAGTGGTTCGGAGTGAATTCTGTTCCTCTGATAGTTATAGTACGAGGAATTGTTTTGTTTGAGACCAGGTAATTGGGGCGGGGGTCTAGCATATTATTATACAATAATATTATAATAAATTAACTCGTCTCTGGAGCTGTGCCGTCATTAAAAACGAGACGAGTTGACGAGTTCAATTAATTTGTGGCAAGAGTACCAACTGAACATCTGTCGACCTTCATGAAGGAGGAGTTTTGGCCAAGGGGCGTCATGTACCGACGTTTCCGAAGTCGGTTACCAGACACCCGCATTGCGTCACACGTCGCAGGCATATGTGTAAGTAATTGAGTGTTTTGTTATATTACTATGTATGTTAATCTATAAGGTATAATACATCTATAAGATATATGAATCTTTGTAACTTGAGAATAAATAAATAAAAATAAATAAAGATAAAAGTCCAAAGTTAAATAGATAACTGACGCACTAACTCCAAAATGGTACATACAACCCACAACAGTTAATATTTTCGACATCTCTATATATGTTTATCTTACCAACAATACAAATTACCTATTAACTATCCCTTATGGCTACAAAGCTATTAACATAAAGGTAAACATCGTGTGCTTTAAAAAAACAGGGACCGTAAAAGGTAGACTTTATGGAATGACGTCATTATATTCTAATTTGAGTTTTTAATCGTTATTTTTACGACCATTAATGGCTGCTTAAAATTCTAAATGGGGCTGTATTTGCCCATTTCAGACTTTGATCTTCAAGATTATAGAACATTTTCTGTAGACTGTAACACCTAAGGATAAGTAATGAATTCTTTGTATTAAAAAGTGATACACATCTTTTTTAACCCCAAAAAAGGGGAGTATATGTTTGCAGCAACAGACAACGGTCTGTGTATTTGTGTATCTGTTTGTTCCATCACAGTGAATATACTAGTTACTTTAACATAGTAGGCAGCCTTGCCTTGGTGCAATAAGGCCACATCTGACAAAATTACATTTTTTCAGGAGAACGGTTCAAAGATTGTACGAACGAAATTAGTGGACAAGTATTTTATATTTAAATATAAGATTTATAAAATTCTTCATATACATAATTTGTTTCATCACCTCACCTTCAATGAACACTACGCCAATTATTTTATTTGGTCATTTACTGTTCTTTTTGTAAACAGACATATTTTTTCACCCGAATTTCGTGAAAAAAAAGAAACAAAAAACAAAAACGAAAAAAAACGAATTTTGTGAAAAAGTAAAATAAAAATAGAACAGGTCCAAAAATTAAAATAGCGTAGTGTTCATTGGAGCTACTGATGTGATAGAAGCACTTTTGACTGCTTCTGTGGCCAGGTGGTTACCATGCTGGACTGCCACGCAGAGACCCATATCTAAATATATACTATAAGATATCTAATAGAATTTAATTCGATTGAATATTTTAAGAGTTCAAATTCCCTCAAGTTATCTCGAAGAAGGTTTCTAGATAATTTAAAGTAAAAGTGACCACAACTTTATCAGTAGATCACAAGAGTGCTTTGAAAAACTATCTGTAGGTAATCTTAAAAGTGATTCTTATCTTTTTTCTCAAGTAACCCTTCTAAAATGCTACAAGATCATTTGTACAATGTAGACAGTTTTTGTTTAGTCTAGTAGACAGTTTTTAGGTAATTTATAGTCTATGATAGTTTTCTTAGTAATGCTATTTTAAAACTAAAATACCAAAGCGTCACAAACATAAGCCACAATTCTCTTAATACTAATAGATTTCAAGTTTAATGCTTACAAAATATAAACTATCAAAATTGCAACATGGCGAAATTAAATATAATATTTTTGAGGAGAAATTGACGTGCGACTTTAAATACATTCTGAAAAGTGATGTAAAACCTGCCATAAAAGTAATGCGCTCGCTAAATTTTAAATATCTATGTATAAATATAAACTTAATAAAAATACAGTTATCGATTTTCGGTTTTAAATATTTATAGAAAGCTTAAATATACAAAATAACTCACAAAACAAACCATTCCTAAGAAGTTCTAGGCTTCTTCAAGCTAATTTCAACTTAGATTTGCTTGTTAAAAAGAAAAGAAATTTTTCTCGGCTACTTCATAGTCATTCTTTAAAAATAAAAATGGCGATAAGAATTTAAAGATTTTTCATAACACTGTTGGGGCATTTTGTCTACAGCTTTATCTAAAGAAAAACTTTAAAGTACGAAAATATTATTTTTACTTGCTTTAGTATAGTTGATCTTGTAGAAGAATATTCACTCCTTTGAAGCTTTAATTATTGTCTACAAAACGCAATGTTTCTAAGCGATTTTTTCCTTTGACAGTATTACAAAACCTATATAAAAGTTATAGAATAGTGAGCGTATTATGCAATAAAAAACTTTTCAAAACACTAGGTCAAAAAACAATTGAGAAAATCCAATTTGTCGCAAAGAAACGTTTTCTGTATAAATATGTGGAATGTGTTATATATGACTAGAAAGGTGGATAAATTCCCTATCATATAAATATAAGGAATATTTTAATGACATACCTAACTTATGTTGGAAGAAATAAAATTTTCATTATAAAATTGAGGTTATTTCTTCACGCCAACCACATTTCACACAATGATTTCACTGTATTCTATTGATAGCCGGCACAATATACATACACATTGAAGTACAGTAGTTTACGCGCTCTTTTCGATTGTTTTTATCATTTCAGAACACGGAAATACTTCACAGTGTTTATTTATTTGTCAACAAACAAAGCCATGAACTCATCGCGCGCGAATTACGACTATTGTATCCAGCGTTGCCAATTTGTGGGTAACCCCCAA